CCGAAACCTTGAGATAAATAATCTTTATGTATATAAACTGAGTCCTCGAGACAATACCGATAACCGGACCGATCGTTAAACAAACTCATTGATCCCCAACCGACTACTACTTGGCCATTACCGCCGCCGCCGTTGCCGTCCAACAGTTCGGCCACTAGTATTGGTAAACCTTTTTCCGACAGTTGCCGAAACCATTCAAGCCGTTGATGTAACTGATCGGGTATTTCCTGTGCAGTTGCCGTTGTTGTCAATACATAGTGACTGTAGATATCGTTAATGGCTGTCAAATCACTGGCCAATGCATCCCTGATCTTAACATTCATATTATAATATTATTATTATTGTTGTTATTATTATTAATTTAATTATTTAAAAATTTATTTATTAATATTAATTAGTTATTATTAAATAAATTCATAGAAAATATACTAAATCACAAATATTTATTATTATTAATAATAATTTAGTATTTGAAAATTTATTTATTAATATTTATTAGTTATTATTAAATAAATTTATAAAAAATCACAAATATTTATTATTATTAATTTATTTTTAAAAATTATCTATTAATAATAATTAGTTATTATTAAATTAATTTATAAAAGTCACAAATATTTATGATGATTATTATTATTATTATGTATTTAAATAAATTTTTTTATTTAAATATATACTGTATTTTATATAACATACTATAATACAGTATATAATGTATTTAATTAATTTAAAGTAATTATTTTTATTTAATAAAACATAAAATTATAAGTTTTACACTAGATTTTAGATCAAATTAAATTCATTTTATATATTATTTTTAATTGCAAAATTATTTTTTAAAAATCAATTTATTTAATTCAATTTTTAAAAATTAATATATAATCATAATCGTGCTTGTACATATGTGTAACTATGTATTTTTTAAATATAAAAAAAATAATTTATAATATTATGTATGGGTGTTTATACAACAACAAAAAATATAGATAATCTAAAACATAGATAAAAAAATTAATACAAAAAATATTATTGTAATATATATCATATAAAATAAATATTTTATTAAATAAATGTGTAAAATAAAACTATATATATATTTTTTAAATACATTAACTAAATAAAACATAAATTAAATGTTGTTATCAATTATTGATAATTATTGTGTGTGTGTAATACATATAAAAATTTATAAAACTATTAAAATATTTATATATTTATTTTTGTTTTTAATTATATCCTATTTTTATTTAAAAAAAATTAATTTAGTATTTAATAATAATAATAATTTTATCAATAATATTATTACATTAAGTATAGAAATAAATAATAATTAAATAAATTTTTTTATTATATTTATTTATTTAAAATAAATATTTGTTTTCCAAATAATGTAAATTAATTACTAATAAATATTATGAATATTTAATATATTAGATTATTGAATATTAATAAATAAATTATTTATAATAAATTATTTTAACTCATAACACAAAATTTTCCTTAAAATATATTATTAATGTTTTTTTTAATATTAATTATAACTACTGTATACATAATGTATAAATATATTATATATGTAAATAAAACAAAAACAAAAGTTATTAATCGCATAAAATATAATAATTTTCAAGTCATTTATGTATTTTTTTATAATTGTTTAGACATTAGACATATAAATTATATTTATTAAAAAAATAATTTACAAATATGTTTACAAATAGTATTAATTATATATAAATATATTTTTTTTATATTTGTTTCTATCTATTAAAATATAAATAAAACTATTAATAAAATAGTAAATAGTAAATAGTAAATATATTTTATTAAAAAAAAATTAAATTAATTAATTAATTGTATTTAAAAACACTAATCATAATATACTTTAAATTATATATTAAAAATAAATAAAACAAATAACTTAAAAATACAGTTTGTTGACACTTATATAATATTATTATAAAAAAAATATATTTTCAATTAAAAGTTCAAAAAAATCATATAATAATTTTTTTTGGTTAGTTATATTAATTGGTAATAAATAATTCAAAATTTTTATTTACTATTATAATAACACGTGTAAAATGATTTAGCAATATATACAATATAAACATATATTATTTATTAATTATATTGTATTTAAATAAAAATTATAATAAAGTTATTGACAAAATAATAGATTTTTTCACCAAAAAAAATAGTATATAAACAGCAAATATTTTACTATAATTTACATATAATTAATAATTAAGTTATTTTCAACTAAATAATAAACTTAAAATTAATCAATAATTTAAAAAAAATAAAACAATGGCTACTAAATTTTTAACTATTGCTACAATGTTGGCAATAATTATATATTGTATTACTACTATTGACGGTAAATATGTTTATTAATTATAATTATTATTATAGTTATTTAAATATATATATATTTAATAAATTTAATAAAATTATTAATTAAAATATTTAAAATAATGTTAAAATAATTTTTTTTTAAAATATCTTATTTGAAAAAAAACTTTATTTAAATATTTTACACTTTTTATTAATTAATTAATTAGTTAATTAAATAATTGAATTTTTGTTATTTAGTTATAAGTTTTATTATTTTTTGGGTTAATTAATTAATTTTAATTATAATTTTTTATATATATATTTATTTATTTTTAAACAAACACACACAAACTACAGGTGCTGGTAGTTGTATACCATATAGTAGAAGCTGTAGAGCACCGGGAGCTGTATGCTGTTCACCCTATGTATGTGCCTCACAATTTCTAACATGTGAACGAAAATCTGGTAAAATTGGACCTGGCTAATAATTAACCGGGTGGGTGGGGTGGGGGTGTAGTTGGCTATTGGGCTGATAAACAAACAACTGTATTAATATTATTATACACCCCCTGAAAGTTTTTTATCATTATTATTATTATTATTAATAATGTATTTAAAAAAATTATTTATATAATAAATAAAATATTATAAAAATTAATTAAATAGATTAAAATTATTATTATATTATTATCTTACAAATTAATTAATTATTACTGATATTATTATTATTATTGAGAAATAAAAATACAATTATTATGTTGAAAATATTTTTGTTATCAAAAAATTACAAACAAAAAAACATACATTTATTAAATATATTGTTTAAATAAGTTATTTTACTATTTTTTTAAACTAACTATTAATAAGTAAATTATATCTAATTTTTAAATTAGTATATTTAAAAAAAATAAAAATATATATATTTTTTTAAATTTAATACACAACTGACCAGTAATTTAATAGTTTATTAAATTATATATAATTATATAAATTTAAAAAAAAAAAATTATTACACAAAATAATTAAACCATATTTGCTATATTATTATATTATATATATATATATTAAATCATTAAAGTATAAAAAACAGCAGCAAATAGTTTTACTGTAAGTATTTTTATATAAAATTAATTTTTTTAAATAAAAATAAATTAAAACTGAAAAATATTAATAATAAATATTTTTTTGTAAAAAAATGGCTAATAAATTGTTAATAAATGTTAAACTGTTGATAATAACTATCTATTGTTTAACTACTATTGTCAACGTTGACGGTAAATATATGTATATAATAATAATAATAATTACTATTATTATAGTTAATTAAATATCACATATATATATATATTAAAAAAAATAATCTTAATTTAATAAAATTTATATATAATATATATATATATATATATATATAATATTTATTATAATTATTATTATTAGGATATTTATAATAATGTTAAAATAATTTTTTTAAAAATGTCTAATTTGAATACCAAAAAAAAACTTTATTTAAATATTTTACACTAAAATTAGTTTTTTAGTTAATTAAATAATTAAATTTTTGTTATTTATTTATTTAGTTATAAGTTTTGTTTTGTATTGTTGTTATTTTTGTGTTAATTAATTTAATTTAAATTTTTTTTTAATTAATTATTTTTCAAAAAAAAAAACAAACACATACTACAAGGTAAATGTATATCATATGGTACTAGTTGTAGAGCACCGGGAACTGTATGCTGTCCGCCCTATATATGTGCCTCACCGTATCTAACATGTGAAAAAAAACCTGGTAAAATTGGATCTGGCTAATAACCAGGGTGGGGTAGGGGTGGGTGGGTGTAGATGCTATGGGCTGATGATAAGCAAACAGTAATAATAATAATAATAAATAAATAATGTATTTTAGAAAAATAAAATTATTAGATAATAATTAATTTATAACTAATAAATAAAATATTATGAATTAAAATTAAATAGATGTAAATTTATTATTATATGACTATTAGATGATTATCCTATAAATTAATTAATTAATTAATTATTTACTTATATTATTAAGAAAAAAATTTATTGTAAATAATTATAATTTTTAATATTAATGCAAATTTAAATTCTAGTTAATTATTTAAATTAATTAATAAATAAAAATATAATTATTTTCAATTGAAATTAAATTTCTTATATTTTTTCTCATTAATTAATATACGATATATATATATATATATATATATATATATATATATATTTGTTGTTATTTATTATATTTTTTTTATAAAATAAAATAACATAATTTTTTTATATTATAATAATTAACTTTATGAAGATTTTTTTTTAAAAAATAATATTATTATTATTATTGAAAAAATACAATTATTTAGTTTAAAATTTATTTACAATAATTAATTAAAATAAAAAGTAATATTTAATTAATAAACTATTACCTATTAATATTATAGTTTATTAATAAGTAAATTATTTTACTAAATTATAAATATATAATTACAAAAATATCTAAAAATAGATTTTAATTATAATAATTAAACCATATTTGCTATATATATATATAGATATATTAAAATAATAAGTTTATAAATAGTTTTACTGTGTAAGTATTTTTTTATTTATTTAAATTTTAAAAAAAATATAAATTAAAACATATAAAAATTTATTGTAAAAATAGTTTATTAAAACAAAAATGGCTAATAAATTATTAATTAGACTATTGATGGAAATAACTATATATAGTTTAACTATAACTGTTATCAACGTTAAAGGTAAATATATTTATCATGATAAATTAGTATAGATATAAGTTAGTGTCTAAATTAGCTAGCTAAAAACAAAAACAAGCAAAATTTTAATTAATTAATTAAATTATTTATTATTGATTTTTTTTAATTTTTTTTTATTTATTTTTAATTATCTATTTTTTAAAGGACAAGATTATGAAGAACAGGGAGGCGGTGGTAGTGGTGGATATGAAGGTCAAGGCAATGGTGGTCCCGGTTTTCGAGGACCAGGCAATGGGGACCCAGGGTTTGAAGGTCCACGCAATGGTGGTCCCGGTTTTGAAGGTCCAGGCAATGGTGGCCCCGGTTTTGGAGGTCCAGGCAATGGTGGCCCCGGTTTTCGAGGTCCAGACAATGGGGACCCAGGGTTTGAAGGTCCACGTAATGGTGGTCCCGGTTTTGGAGGTCCAGGCAATGGGGACCCAGGGTTTGAAGGTCCACGCAATGGTGGTCCTGGTTTAGAAGGTCCAGTCAATGGGGGCCCAGGTTTTGGAGGTCCAGGCAATGGGGGCCCAGGTTTTGGAGGTCCAGACAATGGTGGTCCTGGTTTTGGAGGTCCAGGCAATGGGGGCCCAGGTTTTGGAGGTCCAGACAATGGGGGCCCAGGTTTTGGAGGTCCAGACAATGGGGGCCCAGGTTTTGGAGGTCCAGACAATGGTGGTCCTGGTTTTGGAGGTCCAGGCAATGGGGGCCCAGGTTTTGGAGGTCCAGACAATGGGGGCCCAGGTTTTGGAGGTCCAGGCAATGGGGGCCCAGGTTTTGGAGGTCCAGACAATGGTGGTCCTGGTTTTGGAGGTCCAGGCAATGGCGGACCAGGTTTTGGAGGTCCAGACAATGGTGGTCCTGGTTTTGGAGGTCCAGGCAATGGCGGACCAGGCTTTGGAGGTCCAGACAATGGTGGCGGACAAGGAGGAGGTGATTATGGAGGACAGGGTAATGATGATGGAGGAGGAGGAGGAGGTGATGGCGGTGACGAATAGTCTGATATATATATATATATATATATATTAACAATAATAAATAAATAAATAAAATTAATATGTATTATAATATTTGCTATTTAAAAATAAATATAATTGTATTATAATTAGTAGAGAGAGAGAGAGAGAGAGTTAATTATTTAATTAATAATATTATATTACATTTTTATTTGTTGTTTTTTATTAGTTTAATTTATGAATATTTTTTCATATATATAGTATATAATTTTTTATAATAAATATAAATTATATATATATATATATATATAATTTTTTTTTTATATATATAACATAACTTGAAAACATTTTTAAATACAATGACTATTAAAAAAAAAAATAAAATAATTAAAAATAAAATACTAAATATGCAAATTATAATTAGATTTTATGTGTATTATTATTATTATATAAAATAAAACAAAACAAAACAAAAAAAAATAGTATAAAATAAACATTTAATTATCGGATCAATCAATCAATCAATCAGTCAATCAATCGGTTGTTTTTTGTCTAAACCAACATTTCTTTACCGAAAAACGAATCGGGATATCGGCGGACAACCACTTTCCGGAGCTCTTCAAATACCAGTACATATACGAGGAATGGTAGTGCAAATACCCAGACCTGACCGATAACCGGCGCTACTGTTAGGGCACTGTTCAGTCGGGGTGTATAACAGAAAAGACAGGCCAACCCCGTCTCAAATAGTATACTAATGTTTAGAAACCAATTGCTAATTAAAGTTTGAAGGAAAGTTAGATAATTAATTTAATTGATTATGTTATATCAGTTTATATGTATATATATATACCCCATTCCCTGTTCAAAAATGGACAGTCGCCTTGTTTTGCATACTATAACATCGATCCATTGGCAGACAACTACGGCTATGAAATAACTACTCTGAGCTATGGCTAAGATATCCGTCCGTTGGCTATATGTCTATATATATGTAAAATAAATATAATTATATTATAATTAGTAGAGAGAGAGAGAGAGAGAGAGAGAGAGTTAATTAATTAGTTAATTAATAATATATTTTTTACATTTTTATTTGTTGTTTTTATTTAATTTAATTTATGAATATTTTTTTCATATAGTATATAATTTTTATATATATATATATCATATATAACATAACTTGAAAACATTTTTAAATACAATGACTATAAAAATATAATTAAAAATAAAATACTAAATATGCAAATTATAATTAAATTTTATGTGTATTATTATTATTATATTATATATAATAATATTATTATTATTACTATATATATATGTAAGGGTTAGGTAAGTATGTATACCATACAGTAATATAGTTTAATATTGTATATATTGATATTGTCTAAACAATTAATTAATACATACAGTCGGTTGGGTTGGATGTCCTGTCCACCAATCATCCTGTGGTCCATACCTATTGACAATAGCTGTCTCTGAATCCCATTGTTGTCTAAGTTGGTATAACTGTGACGGTTTGAAACCTTCGTAGCCCATGGCTATGAAATAGCCTAATGAAATAGATAATTAAAAAATTTAAAAATAATATGTTTTTTTAAACAAAAAACATTTTACCTAACATTCCCGCACACGACTCGATCACACCGACCAACAGGTATGACCTCAACAACAGTGGCTCATTGACCAGTCGTTCGGTACGCGGGTTTCTCGGCGGTAGTTTCATAATATCGGATTCGGCTTTTTCGTAGGCCTGACCACCGAAAACAAAATTAAATTATTGGTTAAAAAAATAAAATATTAAAATTTAATCTATAATATTTAACTAGTGTTTAAATAACTAACTAACTAACTAAAAAACACATACATACTCACACGCATACACACACACATACATAGATACGTACATATATACTTATACACACATATATATACACATACACACACATACATTCAAACACACACATACATAGATACGTACATATATACTTATACACACATATATATACACATACACACACATACATTCAAACACACACATACATAGATACGTACATATATACTTATACACACATATATATATACACATACACACACATACATTCAAACACACACATACATAGATACGTACATATATACTTATACACACATATATATATATACACATACACACACATACATTCAAACACACACATACATAGATACATACACATGCATAGATACACATATATACATCATACATAGATACACACACATACATATACACCCACCCATACACATACATAGATAAAACATGCATACATATACACCCACCCATATACATACATAGATACACACACATACATACATAGATAAAACATGCATACACACACATACATATACACCCACCCACACACAACCTCACAGAGGATTTAACATTTTATTAAAAATTTAAAACAAATAATAATAATAAACTATAATTTTAATTACCAATGATATGGCCGGTACCATATCGGTACCCAAACAAATCAATAGTACGGTAATAGTGCCAATGGGTAGAGGAAAGCCAAACAATACATAAATGACAAACGGATAGACTGAGGTAACATTTCCGGTGAGTATATAGTTGACAGTTTTTTTCATATTATCAAATATACGCCTCCCTTCCTCAACGCCCACTACTATTGTGGCAAAATTGTCGTCCAATAGTATCATATCTGCCGCCTGTTTGGACACTTCAGAGCCTAGGATTTTAAAAATAAATATATTTATTGAAAAATACTGTTAAAAATAATTATAATTAATATTTTTTTAAAAATTAGATAATAATTTATCTATAATTAATGTTTACTTATACTTAAAAATTATTTTTTTTTAATTTCTAGTATAATCTATAATTTTTTTAAAATAATTTAAAGTGAATTAATATTAACTGTTTTTATAGTTTGTTATCAATTTTCTATTTATGTTTTTATATGTTTATTATTTAAATTAATTACTGTATATATATATATATATATATATATATATAATCATTAAATATTAAAATTAAAAAAAATAGTTTATTTTTCATTAAAAACTTAAACATATATACTATAATATAACTTTACAATTTTAATTTAAAGACTATAATTATTTAATTAAAAAAAATTTTTTTTTAATTAAGTAAAGTATAAAATTACTGTATAATAATACTGTATATTTAAAACTGTATATTTAAAAAATAATAATAACTAATAAATTAAATAACTAGTTAGCTATGGTTAAATAATAATAATAATTGATTGAAAATTAATTATTATTATTATTATTTATAGACATTACCTGTAATACCCATAGCTATACCGATATCGGCTTTTTTCAGTGCCGGCGAATCGTTAACACCATCGCCAGTGACGGCAACTATTTGTCCTAAATATTGACAATTTTCGACAATCCGGAGCTTTTGTTGGGGTGATGTCCGGGCAAATACTATCTCCGAAAATCCGTCCAAAATCTCCCTGAGCTCCGGATCGGTGAGTTCAGTCAATTCATCGCCCGGTACTACAATCGACCGATTGTTTCGGACAACCCGATCGACAGTCGGTACCGTAATGCTTGTCGAGTTACGGTGCGAGTTGGTAAATATGCCGACCATTTTGGCAATGGCCTGGGCGGTAATCGGATGATCCCCAGTTACCATTATGACTTTGATGCCGGCACTGCGACACTTGGCCACAGCGTCGGGAACTGTAGGTCTAGAAAATAATAATAATAATAATAGTAATTTTTGTTTCACAAAAAATAAAATTATAATAAAATAAATAGTAATTAATTGATTTCTTTGTCTCTCAAACTGTCTCTCTCTCAAACTGTCTCTCTCTCACTGTCTCTCTCTCACTGTCTCTCTCTCACTGTCTCTCTCTCTCTCACTGTCTCTCTCTCTCACTGTCTCTCTCTCACTGTCTCTCTCTCACTGTCTCTCTCTCACTGTCTCTCTCTCTCTCTCTCACTGTCTCTCACTATCTCTCTCTCTCTCTGTCTCTCTATTTGTCTCTCTATTTGTCTCTCTATTTGTCTCTCTATTTGTCTCTCTATTTGTCTCTCTCTGTCTCTCTCTGTCTCTCTCTGTCTCTCTCTCTCTGTCTCTGTCTCTCTCTCTCTCTCTATTTGTCTCTCTATTTGTCTCTCTATTTGTCTCTCTATTTGTCTCTCTCTGTCTCTCTCTGTCTCTCTCTGTCTCTCTCTCTCTCTCTATTTGTCTCTCTATTTGTCTCTCTATTTGTCTCTCTATTTGTCTCTCTATTTGTCTCTCTATTTGTCTCTCTATTTGTCTCTCTCTGTCTCTCTCTCTCTCTCTCTCTCTCTCTCTCTCTCTCTCTCTCTCTCTCTCTCTCTATTTGTCTCTCTATTTGTCTCTCTATTTGTCTCTCTATTTGTCTCTCTATTTGTCTCTCTCTGTCTCTCTCTGTCTCTCTCTGTCTCTCTCTCTCTCTCTATTTGTCTCTCTATTTGTCTCTCTATTTGTCTCTCTCTGTCTCTCTCTGTCTCTCTCTGTCTCTCTCTCTCTCTCTATTTGTCTCTCTATTTGTCTCTCTATTTGTCTCTCTATTTGTCTCTCTATTTGTCTCTCTATTTGTCTCTCTATTTGTCTCTCTATTTGTCTCTCTATTTGTCTCTCTCTGTCTCTCTCTGTCTCTCTCTCTCTCTCTATTTGTCTCTCTATTTGTCTCTCTATTTGTCTCTCTATTTGTCTCTCTATTTGTCTCTCTATTTGTCTATCTATTTGTCTCTCTATTTGTCTCTCTATTTGTCTCTCTATTTGTCTCTCTATTTGTCTCTCTCTCTCTCTCTCTCTCTCTCTCATAGGACTACACATACCTGGGCGGATCAATCATGGCTATCAGTCCTAGAAACCTAAAGTTGGCCATCTCAAACGGCTCTCCTTCCTCAATGTTCCACTGATACTCAGCAGGAAACTGTTGACTGGGGAACTCATAATCGCATAGAGCCAACACCCGTTCGCCCATTGAACCCAATTCCCTATAGGTTTCCTCAAATTCATCCACAAATTCCTGGCCAAACCCGACTGTCTGGCCATCGATGGCCAATCGTTGCGAACATAGTTTGATTATACGTTCGGGTGCGCCCTTCATAACCAGAAAATAATGTCCGCCGCCACTGCCGACACCGCCACCCGTGCCATCATTACTAGTATTACGGTGTATTGAAAACTGGTATTTATATGTCGAACTAAACGGTCGTTCGGCAACTTTCGGATATCGGACCCTATAGTCCATGACCGGGCCCTCCACTGACTCCATAAACCTCAAGATAGCCGTTTCGGAGGCATCGCCAGCGCAACTTCTTTTCATTATATCTGGATTATCGTCGGTAAACTCCGATCGGGAACACAATATAGCGCATCGGCGATAGGCCGACCAATTCATCGGCGGTTGAGTCGGCGGCAATTGTTTGGCCATTTCTTGTCTATCGTGCGATACTCGGATGATATCAAACCCCAGCCAACAGTGTTCGACAGTCATCCGATTCTGTGTCAATGTTCCCGTTTTGTCCGTACATATAGTCGATGTCGATCCCAATGTTTCAACCGCTTCCAGATGTTTGACCAAACAATTCTTGGATGCCATCCGTTTGGCCGTCAGTGTCAACGATACGGTCAGTGCCGGCAATAAACCTATTTATATATAGATATACAGTATATTAAAATCAATAGTTAGATACCAGTGTTGTAACAGTTATACACTACTACTACTACTACTACTACTACTACTACTACTACTACTACTACTACTACTACTACTACTACTACTACTACTACTACTACTACTACTACTACTACTACTACTACTACTACTACTACTACTACTACTACTACTACTACTACTACTACTACTACTACTACTACTACTACTACTACTACTACTACTACTACTACTACTACTACTACTACTACTACTACTACTACTACTACTACTACTACTACTACTACTACTACTACTACTACTACTACTACTACTACTACTACTACTACACTAATAATAATATCTAATTAAATAACTAATAGTTGTTTTTTTTCCAAATCAAACTATACCTTCGGGAACATTACCGACGGTAATACCGATCATCAGTGTAAACGAATGAAAGAAACCGTTACCGAAACCCATGGAAATGGCAAATATGATAATACCGGTCAGTACGGCAATAACGGTAATAATGGCCACAAACCGATCGATTTCCTTAGCAATCGGTGTCTTATCGTTATGAATACCCGACACCAGGCGTGCAATATCGCCCATAACTGTCCGATCGCCGGTAGCTATAGCTATACCATAGCCGGAACCGTCGACACAGTTAGTGGAAAAAAATGCCAAATTTCTTGACTCCAGAGCATTCTGGTGTCCGACGTCTATACTACGGGATAGTGGATCCGATTCGCCCGTAAGGGACGAGTTGTCCACTTTCATGCTTTCGCACCGTACGATACGTATGTCGGCCGGTACCCGGTCGCCGGCCTTACAGTAGACAAGATCGCCGACCACTATCTGGTCGGCCGGTATCTGACGCCGACGTCCCTCACGAATCACTGTTGTTTGCTATCAGTAGATAGTATTACTATATATAAAGTCTGTGACAGAAGGGTGCGAACTGGTTTTTGCTTAATATCTCTATAACTAATTGAGCTAGATCAATAAAAATTTTATGAGATACATGGAATCCTGGGACGTATAACTTAGTATAGTTAAGTTTTATAAATTTAAGCTTATGTAGCTAAGCACCGGTAGGTGCCATATCTCTAAAACTATAATAAATATCTAAATTCTGATAATATGAATTTAAAATAGGTGAAAATTCATTAGACACGTATTTCAGTAATTTTTTTAAAAATTAATAAATTTTAAACAAAAAGCAAAAAAATGTAAAATTTGTAATATTTTGATATTTTCTAGAAAAAAAGTGTCAAGGTATTTTGATATGAAATTAATCTATTATTATTTGTTATTTTATTAGGAATGATTATTCTATTTACAATTTTTAATTATCATGCTTAGTTTTTAAGATATTAAAGAAAAACATTTTTACCATTATATAATTTTTTCTTATAAAATTTTATTAATTATATTTGTTACTAAATTTATATAATGGTAAAAAGGTTTATCTTTAATATCTCAAAAACTAAGCAAGATAATTAAAAATTGTAAATAGAATAATTATTCCTAATAAAATAACAAATAATAATAGATTAATTTCATATCAAAATACCTTGACACTTTTTTTCTAGAAAATATCAAAATATTACAAATTTTACATTTTTTTGCTTTTTGTTTAAAATTTATTAATTTTTTAAAAAATTACTGAAACACGTGTCTAATGAATTTTCACCTAGTTTAAATTCACATTATCAGAATTTAGATATTTATTATAGTTTTAGAGATATGGCACCTACCGGTGCTTAGCTACATAAGCTTAAATCTATAAAAACTAACTATACTAAATTATACGTCCCAGGATTCCATCTTTCTCATAAAATTTTTATTGATCTAGCTCAATTATTTATAGAGATATTAAGCAAAAACCAGTTCGCACCCTTCTGTCACAGACTTTATATTACTATTTGTATGGGACTACAGATTAGGGACTACAGGTTAGGGACTACAGGTTAGGGACTACAGGTATAGGACTACAGGTTAGGGACTGAAGGTTAGGGACATTAATGAGGAAAGTTAGGAAAGTTAGGAAAGTTAGGAAAGTTAGGAAAGTTAGGAAAGTTAGGAAAGTTAGGAAAGTTAGGAAAGTTAGTTAGGAAAGTTAGGAAAGTTAGGAAAGTTAGGAAAGTTAGGAAAGTTAGGAAAGTTAGGAAAGTTAGGAAAGTTAGGAAAGTTAGGAAAGTTAGGAAAGTTAGGAAAGTTAGGAAAGTTAGGAAAGTTAGGAAAGTTAGGAAAGTTAGGAAAGTTAGGATAGTTAGGAAAGTTAGGAAAGTTAGGAAAGTTAGGAAAGTTAGGATAGTTAGGAAAGGTATTGTTTACTTACAGGTGGTGTCATATTTTTGAATGACTTGAATACACTGTTACTACTTGCTTGTTGATAATAGGAAAATGTGCCTGTTAATATTACAGTCAATGCCAACACTACGCCCAGGTATGTCTAATAATTAATTAATTAATTAAATAACATTTTAAATTAAAATTAAAATAAATAATAGATGTTTAAATTTATATATATATTATTATATACTCTATACTAATATTTTGGGCAAAAAAAAAAAATATTTTACTGTTAGATAATAACATTTTTTTAAAAAATAATTAATTAATTATATTTATAACATTATAACTAAGTTTTTTAAGTATTAGTTAATTATTTATTGTTTATAAATTAAAAAAAAATATTAGTTTATATTTTACTATAAAATATTATAGATTTAAAAAATATTATTATTATATTTATTAAAAAAGTAGTACAGGTATTATGTTATATATATATATAACTATATTATCCAAATATTATTTGAAATATACAAACATTTATTAATATATAATTCAATTTAGTTTTATTAGTTTATACTAATAATAATTAATTGTCGTAAAAAATATAGTGTAATTTTATTTTATAAATTGTTAAACATTATTGTTTTTTCCCTACTTTTTATATATTGATACTAAACTAAAATATCAAAAAAAACAAAAACAAAATTTTACTTACATTTTGCATATCTTTTGATACACCATAGGCTATAAAACTGGCTATCGATGCAAACCATAACAATAGGGCAAAACCGCCGGTCAGCTCTTTCAGATAGAGAAGCGCCCAATGAGTCTGTTTTGGTGGCGTAAAAGCATTGGGTCCGTCCCTCAGTAATCTCAGGCCAGCCTCGGCTTCGGTTAGACCCGATTCCCGATCGGTACCCAATCGGACACAGACCGTATCGATGTCCATAAGATGTTCAGTAATTTTGACATCTTTTGCCAAATCAGTTGTGTTTGACTTATCCGTTGATTTTAACTAAAAAAAATATAAAATAAAAAATAATTTTCAACAAAAAAATAAAACAAAAATATTTGATTTTTCGGTTAGAAATTTATCCCATTATTCAATAAGACTATTGATTTTTTTTTATTTGTTTGTTTTTACTTATTATTTAATTAATAAAAAAATTATTTTCATATACTGTGTGTAAATATATATAAGAAATTTATATAAAAAAATTAAAAGTTTATAATTTAATTTGAATTTTAGATAAATTTTGTAATTTTCATATACTGTGTGTATATATATATAAGAAATTTATATTAAAAAATTAAAAGTTTAAAATTGAATTTTAGATAAATTTTGTAATTTTCATATACTGTGTGTATATATATAAGAAATTTATTTTTAAAAAATTAAAAGTTTATAATTGAATTTTGAATAAATTTTGTAATTTTTTTGTTGGTGTCTATGTGTATGAATCATGTATTTTATATTCATATTATTATTATTTTTTATTACTATTGAATATTTTAATATATAAATTGTAAATTACATACATTTTATATTATTGATAATAAATTTCTAACTGATTATAATACTATTAATAATATTAAAAAAATGTAAATATCATTTTAACATGTGATTTAAACGCATATAAAATATTTATAATATTACATATAATATATTGAAAATTTCATTTATTTAGATAAAAAACCAATTTAAAAAATAATAAAATTTTAATTTTCATAATATAGTTAACTAATAATAAATTCAAAAAATATATATTTGTTTCATAAAAGATTTATATAAAAAATATTATAAAAATTAAATAAATTTGTTTTTACTTTGTTTTTCTTCCAGAATTTAATCGTAAATTTATTTTTAGTCTTAATATACTTGTCGTCTGGATGTCCACTCTCGAGGTCAGTCTGTTTTAGGTCATCCCCATTAAGTTGTCGTAATTTAATGCCATTATTATTATTATTATTATTATTGCTTATATTATTGTTATAGTTATTATTATTATCATTATTATTATTATTATGGCTATTATTAATTTTATATGTTTTACCCATTATTTTTTATTTAAAAAAAATAATTAATTAATAATATATATATTTACAGTAAACTACACACAAAAAAAACAAATTATTTTTTAATACACCAAAAAACAATAGTTTTTTCACCAAAATATTTTATTAAAAAATTAAACAATGTTTGTGTTTTTATAATCACAAAAAAATAATAATATTTATTATCAAATAATATATGAAATCATTTTATTTATTTTATTTTTTAAAAAAATAAATATTATTAAATTAATATTTCACACACAAAAAATAGATAATAAATATAACAATTTGATAATAATAATACTAATTTTTTAAATATATATATTTATATAACTAAATTGATTTTTACTTTATAACAATAATAATACTATCAAATATAAAAAAACACTAATAAAAAAATTTCATAATATTTTCAGATATAAATGCAAATCATCAAATGAAATATAAAAAAAAATAAAATTAATAAATTTTATTGTAATTATTTATATTTTGTTTTATTTGATGAAATTGTTTTGGCAATAAATAACAAAAAAATACAGTATTAAGATATTATAAGTATATATATATATATATATAAATATTTTTATTATATTTAGTTTGTTTTTATTGTTTTTTTTGTGGATAATATGCATATCATATATATATATATATATATAGTATTATAATCCTTTAGCAACTAAATTGCAAATATATATACTTTATATATATATATATTGATTGTCTAAGAAAATTGTTAATAACTTTTTTATTAATTATTTTTTATATTATTAGTTAAGTTAAGTTAATTAGCATCTCAATCATTATATGCATTATTGCCAACTCATAGATCAAATAGTATATAAAATACAAAAAAAAATTAATTATTTTTGTAATAAAATAAAAAATATTATTTTTATTATTATTAAATTAATATTAATTCTCTAATAAAAAATTTCAAAAAAATCAATATTTAAAATATAAAATTTACTAAAAATAATTTAAGTTATTATACTATAAATATTTGAGCAAATAATTATTATGTTATTATTATTTTTTAATTTTAATTTAATAAATTTAATTTAAAATCACCAAGTTTATTTTTATTAAATTTTAACAGTTTTATCATAGTTTATATAATTTCAATATTATTGCTATACAATAATTTTTTTTAAATAAAGCAATTTACTGGTAATATTTAAATATTTTAATAATTTTGTTTCGCACAAATAAAATTAGTTTAATGAATAAAATATTATATAGTTTTTAAACAATTTAATTAATTAAAAATTATTTCTTAATAAATTAATAAAAAATTCATATGAGTTGCGAAATATATAATAAATCATATGATTTTATTTTTATTTATATTTTTTTTATTATCTAAAATTATTTAATTTTAATTAAAAAATAGATTAATATATATATATACAATAAATATGAAAATATTAATCTATTTTAATCATTACTAATTAATTACATTAGTATTTATTTAATGTATTAATAATTTATTTTATATTTTATATCCTTATGTATGCAAACAATTATTTATTGATATTTATTGGCAATATTTGTATATTTCAATCTATAATACAGTATTATTATTATTATCTAATCTAAGCTATAAAAAATACTAAAAAATTATAATCAATACAAAAATTGTAAAAAAATTATAAAATTATTTCACATAATTATATGATAACAAAAAAAACTATTTATTATAAACTATTATAAAATTAGTTATTGTTTTCTAATAGTTATTGACAAATATATATATATATATTAAATAATTTTATAGAAAAATTAAACATTTAATTAATAAACTTTATTAAAAAATTTATAAATTTAATTATTATTTAAAAAACTAATTAAATGTCTATTTAATTTATAAAATAAAATATGTTAATAAAAATTTGCATTTGTTATTATTATTATTGTAGTTGTGATAAATTATTTATTTTTTTTTTTGAAACAATGAACAAAAAATTTCATATATTTTTAAATTAATATTTCATATATATATATATATATCTATGTATTAATGAAATCTAAATTGATATTTATATACAGTATATAGGAGTATAAGTTAGATATTTCTAGTTTTACTAATAACTTAAACATATGATGAATGTCTGGTATTTTATTTTTGTTTGTCATTTAGTGTTAACTATCGATAAATTTATTGAATTTTATACATATTTTTATATCTTTATATATATATATATATATATACTTTATATATATTGCACACAATAATATATACTCATGTAATACTGTATATACAATATATTGCAAGTATTATTAATAATAATAATAACAATAATAATAATAATAATTATAATAATAATAATAAACTAGAAATGTTTTACAAAAATAATTATACTTTAAATTTTATTATATATATATACTAAATAGATCTTTATATAATAAAAATTTATATCTATTTTTTTTATTATTATGCAAAATGTATACAATAAAAATAATTTTTTATTAAATATTTCATAATAATAATAATAATAATAATAATTTGAATTTAGTCAATTTATTATTATTATTATTGTTATTATTAATTATAACTAATAGTAATAAATACATTGCGAAAATAAATACATTTATACAATTTATGATATTTTAGTGTCATTAATATATAATACATTTACAATATAAACCAATATATATATATATATTTTATATAAATATTAAATACTTTACATGTTGTTAAACAATTAATTTATTGTTATTATTATTTATAAATTAATTTATTGTTATTGTTTTATAAATTAATTAATATTAAAATAGTCCTGTTCAATTAACGTCAACATTGTGTGTCAACAACATATGTGTCACAATACTATTAATTATTAATTAATTAATTAATTATATGAAATATATAATTAATATATTAGTAAAATACTGTATATAAATATTTTCATAGTCTATATTATAGTTTATATTAAATAAGCTATTTAGTTATAATTAGCTATAATTACTTAATTGTAATAAATTAGGATAATTTAATATAATTTAATACATATATAGATTGAATGTCTATAAATAAATATTACATATATTAAACTTAATTTTTTTAAAAATAAAAAAATTAATAAATTTATTATTACTAATATTTATAATTATTAATATGTTTTTTAAATATTTTAATTTTAAATAATTATTTATTTATTATTACTAATATTTATATTTATTGATATGTTTTTTTTAAATATTTTAATTTTAATTAATTATTTAATTATTATTACTAATATTTATATTTATTGATATGTTTTTTTTAAATATTTTATTTTAATTTAAATTAATTATTTAATTATTATTACTAATATTTATATTTATTGATATGTTTTTTTTAAATATTTTAATTTTAATAAATAAATAAATAATTATTATTATTATTAAAATGAAATACTAAGCCAACAATTCCTGTCCCAAAAATGATTGCGGAAATAGTCTAATAATTAATTTCCTGAGCTCTTCAAACAGGAACAGGTAGATAAAAAATGGCAGCGCAAACACCCATACCTGGCCGATAACCGGTGCCATATGCAGTACTGTATGGAGGCCGGGTGTATAGGCAAACAGTACGGCCAGTGCCGTCTCAAAAACTATACTACCGTTGAGCACCCAATTGCTATATCAACAACAAAATTAATTAATTTTTTTTGTGTGTATAAAATTTTATATCTATGATTATCATTCAAATATATAAACACATCTACACACACACACACACACGCACACACACAGATACATACATACATACAAACACATACATACAAACACATACATACAAACACATACATACAAACACATACATACAAACACATACATACAAACACATACAAACACATACATACAAACACATACATACATACAGACACATACATACAAACACATACATACAAACACATACATACAAACACACACACACACACACATACATACATATACTTTATATCTAAATAAATAGCCAAATATGTTATAGTTATAGTCATTGTATTGTAAATGTATATGTATTTAAACAATGTGTTACTAAAATAAAAACTTATATAAGTATTACATAACAATAGATTTGCTATTTATTTACTACTACTACTACTACTACTACTAGTTATTACTAGTGCTTTATTGATGGCAACTAACAACTGGTTTATACTGTACTACTCAAAAAAACTATACCTGTAATTGACTGAACCAGTTGTCTGCGGTATAAAAAACAGGTATAACAATGAAATTAAATTTAACAAAAAAAAAAATATAATTATTTTAAATTAACTGTGCTTTTAAATCTATGATTTAATACATTAGTATATTTAGTTAATATAAAGCGTTAGTGGTATAACGGTTAGCATAGCTGCCTTCCAAGCAGTTGACCCGGGTTCGACTCCCGGCTGACGCAAATTTTTGTTTGTGTGTGTGTGAGATCTAAATATGATAATTTATCATGCTCAAATATTTTGTAATGTTTGATTATTTTGCACATAAAACTATTTTCTACAGTAATTAAACACATCTATTAAATACATATACATTCTCTCTCTCTTTCTCTCTCTCTCTCTCTCTCTCTCTCTCTCTCAATACATACACATAGTCTCTCTCTCTCTTTCTCTCTCWYWCTCTCTCTCTCTCTCTCTCTCTCTCTCTCTCTCTCTCTCTCTTTCTCTCTTTCTCTCTCTCTCAATACATACACATAGTCTCTCTCTCTTCTCTCTCAATACATGCATACTCTCTCTCTCTCTCTCTCTCTCTCTCTCTCTCTCAATACATACACATACTCTCTCTCTCTCTCTCTCTCTCTCTCTCTCTCTCTCTCTCTCTCTCTCAATACATACACAATCTCTCACTCTCTTTCTYTCTCTCTCTCTCTCTCTCTCTCTCTCTCTCTCTCTCTCTCTCTCTCTCTCTCTTTCATACAATAATAAGTTTATTAGTATTATTGTTATTATCCCACAAAAAAAGATAATGCTTACCCCATGCCCTGACTAAATAGGGACAGTCGTCTAGTTTTGTTAACTATAACGTCCATCCATTGGACAACCACTACAGCCATAAAATAGCTGCTCTGAGCTATAGCTGTCAGTTGTTGTCTTTGATCATAAGTCTGAATATACAAACAATATATATATTATTACTTTTATTTTTATTTTTAAAAAATTTATTAAATATATATATAATAATAATAATATTTTACTAACCGTTTCGGTTAATGGTTTACCGTTGCGATCATCATTGGGACCGTATCTCCAAAGTTTTATATCCTTATCGTCCCATTTATCTCTCAACATAAACAACATACTGGGCGTAAAGCCCTCGTAGTCTAGACTAATGAAATAACCTATTAATTGAAAAAATAAAAATTTTAAAAATTAGAAAATAAATTAAAAATTTAATTTAATTATTTATTTAATTAAATTTTACCCAAAAAACCGCAAGCAGTACATATGGCACCGACCATTAGGTAGGCGCGCATCAGTAGCTTAGCAGTGACCAGTCGATCGCGTTTAGGATTACGGGGCGGCATATTCATGATATCCGACTCGGCTTTTTCGTAGGCCTACAAAATATATATATATATATATTATTTTAATATATATTTGTTTAAAAATTAATTAATTAATTAAATTAAACTATATTTATTATATTTCTGGGTTAGCATATCGACAAATCAATAGTACATACATACACACACACACACACAAATACACATACATATGCACACACATATGCACACACATACATACACACATACATACACACATACATACACATATAAATACACATATAAATACACATATAAATACACATACACATACACATACACATACACATACACATACACATACACATACACATACACATACACATACACATACACATACACATACACATACACATACACATACACATACACATACACATACACATACACATACACATACACATACACATACACATACACATACACATACACATACACATACACATACACATACACACAACCTTACAGAGGATTTAACATTTTTATAAAATAATTTAAATAAATATTATATAATAATAATAAATTAATTACTATTGCAATGGCCGGTACCATATCGGTACCCAAACAAATCAATAGTACGGTAATGGTGCCGATGGCCAGCGGAAAGCCAAACACAACGTAAATGATAAACGGAAACAGTGTCGTAGCGTTGCCGCCGATAATATAGGACACAGTTTTTTTCATATTATCAAATATACGCCTCCCTTCCTCAACGCCCACTACTATTGTGGCAAAATTGTCGTCCAATAGTATCATATCTGCCGCCTGTTTGGACACTTCAGAGCCTAGTATTTAATAAAAATAAATATATTTAAAATAAATTTATTGAAAAATACTGTTAAAAATAATTAGTTATAAAAAGTTTTAATAAAAAATTATTGTTATTT